TCAGTTCTTTGTTTCTGTGACAAATCACTGAGTATGATCGACTCCAAATCCATCCAAGTTCATTGTTGAGCCAAGTAGTTCATCATGCATAGTTAGTGTATCATGCACAGTTTTTGTATTTCCTTTCTTTCAACTTTTTGTTTTTTTCTTGAAGTTAGTAATTGCTTAACTGAATATTTGACTAAATCCTCCAGTGCCACAAGGTCTATAATATGCTTGTCAGGACAATGTTCCACATATTCTAGCCTGTCAAATAATATGTCATTTCTATTTATTTTCTTGAAATAACTACTGGAGCACATCAAACTCCTGCTGTAATAAGGAATTCATGCTTTCTTCCCCTTCTGCATAATTTTTGTATGGGTCATCTTTTTTACTGTAATTATGGGGCTTCATTTTGATTCTTGGCTCTCCTGTGTCTTAAATCCTGTCTTCCTACCTTTTGGTTTACTTCATTGTTTTGAATGATTATAATCTTCCGGGAGTTTCTTTAAAATGCATACAAGGGAGTTAATTTTTTTAGAACTTCCATGTCTCAAAGTACAATGTAATGACTTTTCCTCCCACACTCGAATGATATAATAGTTTGGTTGAATATTGAATTTTATACTGAGATAATTTTCCCTCAAAATTTTGAAAGTATTATTATTTTCTAATGCCTGCTGTACCATTTAGAATTCTGATGCTATTTTTCTTTCATATGTATTATATGCGACTCAATATTCCCCTTTGGAAAGTTTTAGAAATTTCCCTTTTTCCTCTGATGATGTTCCAATATTTTATACTGACGACTTTCATGTAAATTTTTCAGCCTTACCATTGTCTTAAATTCTTGTGGTCCTTTTCAAACTGAAAACTCATGTCCTTTGGTCGTACAAAATTTTCATAAATTATTTCCTTGACGATGTGCTTTCTGCCATCATTTTCTATATTCCTCTTTCTCAGATTAGTATTGGTTGGATTTTGCAATTCGTGGATTATGTTATATATTTTAAGTATCTTATGTAGTCTCATTATCCTTTTCCTTATCATCTTGTTGTATTTTCAGGATACTTTTCTGACTTGACTTTTAAAAAATATTATTTTGGCAATTTTAAACTAGCAAGAGTTCTTAATATTTACTGATTATTTCTTTATTGATAGCCTGTGCTTTTTTTGTGTGGAAAACAATACTTTTTATCTTCAATTATATTATGATTTTTTTGACATTTTCTTCTGTTGCCTACATCGTCTCTATTTTTGCTGAACCTAATTTTCCATTATGTCTCTTTCTCTTTCATGTTAAGTAGTTCCCTAAATACCTATAGACTCTTATCAGTTCTCTCATGTTTATCAGTGAGTATTAAAAAGCTGGCTTCGCCGGGCTCAGTGGCTCAGCCTGTAATCCCGCGCCTTTGGAAGGCTGAGGTGAGTGAATTGCCTGAGCCCGCGGGTTCGAGACCCACCTGGGCAGTAAGACCTCATCTCTACAATAAATCAAAAAATCAGCCGGGCGTGGTAGCGCGCGCCTGTAATTCCGGCTACTCGGAAGGCTGAGACGGAAGGATCGCCGGAGCCCAGCAGGCCGAGGCTGCGGTGGCCGGGAGCGGCCACTACATTCCAATCTGGGTGACAGAGTGAGACTCCAACGCAAAAAAAAAAAGAAAGCTGGCTTCACCACTAACTATTATCTTAGTGCCTGGCAATCAGGATACCAATGAATGTTTTAATTTGGGGAGGAGCATCTAGAATGTTAACTTGTGTGTCTTTAATCTTGGATGAGTTTGTTTTTTCAGAAAATAATTCTATAATTAGTTGGGGGTAATAAGACTTTGTTTAGGTGAAATAAGGCTCCCTAAATGGTAAATCAATATGCCACAACAATGCTTTGTTTGAAAAGATATAATCAACTGATCGTTTTATATTTTAAAATATACTAAGAATTACCTATGAGCTTACATCAGTTGATATTTTATCAGTATGTTTATTTTTCTTTCATAGTATTGCAAGCACCATTGAGATTATCCAGTACTGAGTTTGGATTTGAAATTCCTTTACATGAGATGGATCCTAATAACAAGGTCACAAATACTCAGGTATGTATAGAGAAATGAAACAACTTACAACTGTTTTTATGATTATTGTTTTTAGTTTATTAAGTCGATTCTTCTGAAGCATGAGTGATTTAAACTATTCCCTCTGATTAATTTCTTCCCAAGCATTTATGCTGCTTGGAACAATAATACTGGCATTTTTAGAGAACATGTATATATATAATTTCTCAGAAGTAATTTTCAATGTATAAAAATACACATAAAACTATTTGCTAGCCGGGCTCGGTGCTGTAATCCCGCGCCTTTGGAAGGCTGAGGTGAGTGGATTGCCTGAGCCCGCGGGTTCAA